TAAAGCTAACGTTGAAGGAAAGATTCCTTGCAAAGAAGACTTTTTTGACGATAATCCAGATATGCAGATTATTGGTAAGTTTTAGTTACAATAAAACATGAATTTATATAACTATGTTTATTTACTATAGTATTATATATACAGTGACGCCATACAGAACCGGTTTTGTAAAAGAATTGTCAAACCATAAAATCAGTGGGATTATGATGGTGTCAGTTCTTAATAATCCATCAAGTGTTGGTTATCTAGAACTTAATAGTAACAATCCATTCGATAAACCAAGACTGCATCTAAACTATTTCGAAAAATCTGATGATTTATATAGAATGATCAGTTCACTTAAATTATGTCGTGAAGTACTTAAGCAGCCACCATTGAGTACTGTTTATAATGTTAAGGAAGTTGGGATAAATGATGAATATGGACAATGGAGTACTAATGGGGATGATATTAGTGATGAGGATTGGGAAAAGTTTGTTTTGGAAAGGGTTCGTACTTTAATATTATGAATAATTGCCATTCATATAAAATATTTAATGCTATCTATCATCTTATTTTTTATATTTAGGCGGGTACGACGTTTCATTCAAGTGGAACAGTAAAAATGGCACCAGAATCTAAAGATGGAGTAGTCAATCATCGACTTCAAGTTTATGGTACTACAAATCTTCGAGTTGTTGACGCATCGATATTTCCTTATATTCCAAGCGGAAACACTAATGCAGCCACTGCTATGGTTGCTTGGAGAGCAAGTCGGTTAATTATTGAAGATTATATGAAAAAAGTTAACTGAATTATGTTTTTGACTATGAAATTTTGTCGGATTAAATTTCAGTTTATTGATTAGTGCTAGATATTGCAGTATTGTGGTTAGTTATACATACCGTAGAAACTAGTGCGGCTGTAAAAGCAGTGATATTTATTTATTTTTTATAATTATAGAATACATTTGCTTCTATTTGACAATGCATTTTCTCTTTTTTCAATTTGTTTTATTCTTCGCTTTATGCACACGTTGGCTGGTCCGGATAAATAAACTCACATTCTTCAAAAAAACCAACCTTTTTTGTTTACATCACTCATGCCTAATAACACCAAACCATCCTAGCGCTACCAACCAATAATATCTCAGCAACAAAGTAAACAATTTCGGCGTTTAAGAGCTCTTTTAATTCTATAAAATTGTAGAATTCAAAAGAGGTATTGATTGTTAAAATTGATTATGATGTTGAGAGAATTTTACAAAAGGTTTGGAAATGCTGCACATAATTTTAAAAGATTTACGGGTGCAAAACACTTTTGTCATGCACTGTATTAGATTTTAACTTCTTATAAAATTAAACTTCTTATTTACTAAAAATTTTTATTTAGATAAAGTTTTTTATCCGGCAGCTTATTATGATCGTACCACCAGAATAATTCGAGTAATTTCACTGATTGCCAAAGGCTAGTGAAAGAACCATAACGAAGTAATTTGATAATCAAGTTTTTTTTTTAATTTTATTATTTGCCGTTGCGAACACAGCCACTTAACCGACGTAACAATGTCTGTAATGCAGTAAATGTTTTCTATTGGATGAAATTTTTGATTCAAATGACGATGATGAAATATAAAACTAGATAGCTGCGCGACGTCATCGCGCGAAACCAGGAACGGAAGAAGTTGATAATGGTTAGACTTGAATGTTTAATATGATAAAGAAAGGTGTAGTTAATTATTAATTCAAATAGCTATATAAT